ATTATTATTATTATTATTATTATTATTATTATTATTATTATTGATGCTGCTGCTGATGATGATGATCCTGATGTTAGCTATTTTCAATCGCACTCTCTATTTTTAGTTAGCTGGGGCAGTTTTAGATGGACTATCATTTGCAAAAAGCGCTCTGATTCAAAAGACCTCATTGTTTATTCTCACATAATACCGGGGGAAGGTTATGGTGGAGCTTTCCAAAAACATACTCGCTTAATTAAAGGTTTCATTTATACACGGGCTCAGATATGAACCTTGTGACTAAGTTTTCAGGTATTATTCTAATTCGAGTATGCTTTGTCTATTTTTGGCAAGATCGGCCCAGTGAAAAGTTAGAGTGCACAATCGAAAATGTTTTAGGCTATAAGTTGTTCGAAAGGGAAAATTTCAATTACTCCTCATGTTGCACGTACAAGGTTAAGAAATCTAGGAACGTAAATAAATAAATAATTGAATAAATAAATAAATAAATAAATAAATAAATAAATAAATAAATAAATCTTGTATGTTGACATTGAAGACGTTTGATGAAAACTCTGTTGTTCACAGAAGCGTACGTCAGGTCGGCCTCAGTTAGGACTTGTCATACATTTTTTTTAAAACTCCCTGGTATGAGTAGTTGGCCAAAACTTAATTCCGTTAGAACAAATTCCATCCCTAATATCAGTCAAAGGGGCCGACCACTTACAGAAAGCACTTGCTAAAAAATGCTTGAATATTTAGTGATATTAGCCGCATTCACAGATAAATACACACATGCATACGTCCGCACACACACACACACGCACGCGCATACACATACATACATACAAACGCAAACACACATGTGCGCGTGCACGCACGCACTCATACACGCACACACAACTCATTAAATAGAATTATTCCTTTGTAAAAAACCTGCGGGCGCCTGAGCAATCTTAAATGCGAAGCATTTTTTTGCGTACTGCGTGCACTTTCAGCATCTATCTATCTATCTATCTATCTATCTATCTATCTATCTATCTATCTATCTATCTATCTATCTATCTATCTATCTATCTATCTATCTATCTATCTATCTATCTATCTATCTATCTATCTATCTATCTATCTATCTATCTATCTATCTATCTATCTATCTATCTATCTATACACCTACGTCTGGGTGCTCTCGTGAACTTGGGAGGAACCAATATTAGTATGATGTGGGGGATTAAATGGTTCGATGAAGATGACCTGCTTGTCATGACATGAATAACACCACCATCCCGCGACGTTAACGTCGTCAAACACTTTCCGCCAAACAGTGCCGCATGCCCATAGACAGGTATGCTCCACTGGGTGGCACATACAAGTGGGACGTACCAGTAAACAGTGGCATATACCAGCGGCACATACTCGGCCACGAGTATATGCTCCTAATATGCAGGTATGTGCCACAGGCGTAGGTCAGCAAAACTTGTGGACATCACTCAGGCTCATTCATGAACTAATATTGAGCTTCGGACTCACTCGGACTGAAACTCGCGAAAGTGTTTCTGAGCCGGACTCAATCGGACTCAAACACACCAAAACATAACTCACCTTGACTCACTCAGGCTCAGACTCGCCGCTCAATCTGAGTCTGAGTAAGTCCGTCAGCCTAAGATTAGCTTCTTCGATCGTGGGGTCAATGCTCTTTACCACCAATATCTCACGTAGTCGGTGCTCATCTTCGGGCCGTTTGACATGATGTCTTCGAAAACAAGTTATGAGTGCTTTCAAACCAGTAATGTCATCTTTCTTAGAAGAAATGACAGCATAAGATTTCCTGTAGGAATATTTTACAGGAGCGGAAAGGGGGGGTGATCAAGGTACCCTATACGTAGTTAACGCCTCTAATTAATAAATATTGCAACGCTGTATGAACTACACTATTTTGCATACCTGTGTGAAGATGTGAGTATTAACTTCAATCCAGGTAAGACTGACAGTAATGCTGAAAATGACTAGATAAGAATTCAGGTCGGCAAAATAAAGTAGAACTCACTCACACTCACTTAGGAAATATATCTTGTGCTTTGAACTGACTTGGACTCACGCTCACAAAAATTTTATTCATCTGGACTCCCATTGACTCTGACTCACAAAAAATATTACTCACCGGGACTCACTCACTCAGGCTCACATTCACGGTTCCATCTGAGTCTCAGTGAGTCCGAGTGAGTTGACTCATGAGTGAGTTCACCGACATATGGCCACAAGGGACAGACACTTCATATCAGCCCAGGAACAGCGAGAACACGTGGATAATTATGACGCGTGACCGTTAAGAAAAACCAGTTATCCGCAGCGTTGACCCGGCGAATGTGAAAAATAAATGCCAGGATCCTAGCAATAATCAAAACCCAGAATTCTGCGTGGCAATCAAGTATTCCACCACAGAGCCACTGAAGGTCTCGGAACTAATTTTAAAGTAGACCCTAATGTTCATGAAAGGTCAATTGTGGTTTAAAGGCTGGCTGTCCAGTTTTATAAACATTGCATGTGTACAGTCACGCACGATATTAAGGTGACCGCTCGTGCGTCGACCAGCCTATTGTTCCAAAGTCTTAGCGGCATGTTTCTGAACAATGAAAATCTCAATTCCGCCTTCTTCTCTCCCTCGTTGGCTGTTTCATGCTACAACAATCACCCCTAAGACGAACTCTACGTGTTTCTCTCAATGTTTAGCCCCCCATTCCTTCGCGATCAAGGGTATTCTTCGGGGGGCTCTTACCTCCGCAGTCGGTTACAGAAATGCTTGAACAGCTGTGTTACCGCTGGTGTTAGCTATAAGCGCTGCTTCGATTAAACAGGGTCCTACGACGGGAGTTATCGCTGCTTAGAGAACAGCGAAAAAAGTGGGTGAAGCTAGCGGGATAATACCCTCTTTTTGAAAGTGTATTCTGGGACGCGCAACAACCTGCAAATCACATTCGACTGTACTCTTTTGATACAGCCGTCACGTCGGGTTAAAGTTAATTGTAGTTATGCGCCATCTGCAGATGAAGATTTATGTAGCAGTGTCCAGGGCTACTATCCTCGCGAGCTCCAGCGCATCTTATCAACTTACCCCTTTTAGTGTTACTAATATTCATAATTCTGCTGACGTCATTGCGCAACTGTAAACAACTCGCTATATAAAATATATACGGCTGTTTAACGTAAATGTGTTAATGCATTTGGAAATATGTTTAGCATTGCTTTGTAATGCTCTGATTATTAAAATGGTACAACGCATTCTCATTCAATCCGCCTACATTGCATGACATCAATTCTCAAGGTACGAGGAATATGGAAATATTTTTTTTATGATTGGCAGGACGTTAGTTCTGCTTATTGTGCCACTGAGATTAGTGCTGCGGTGAAATGTTCTTGACCTCACAGATGGTCAAGGTTGAATTTTTTTTCTTTTGTGGCTTTTATGTTGCAATGACTTTCTAATGGTGGCGGCGGCCGCAATATTAGTCAAGTGGTGTTCTTGCATTATATAATAACAGCACGGGCTATGTCGGGCGTATTAGAGAATGTAGTCCGCCAGTGCCAAAGAGGCTTTACACACGCCTTGCACTTTCACGCATTCATCTCGTTTGTTTCAGTCCTTTTAGCACAAGCGGTTTCCTGTGCTGTTCTTTGATTACTAGCCAGTACCGGAACGTTCGCACCCACCCGCAAAGAAATACTAAGAAATATCCGGGTATTTCGCCACAGCGGACAGGATGCCAGATGCGAAAATTCCGGTGATGGAAAACCTGTGCAACACTTCCGAGATTTGTTCGGCACTAAGACAAGCGGCTGCAGAAGTCGGCCTCGGCCTCGAGAAGGAAGAAAATTGGATGCAACAAAGTAAGATGTTAGTGATTACACAGCTACTAGCGCTTCCCATTAGTGTTCATAAGCACTCTCAAAGAGATGCTGAACCTTGTAAGAAGTCCTGGCTTTTGATTTTTCAAGATTTTTCCAAAACATTCTCATATAAATACTATACTGAGAGATTGCAACGCGGATTGATCATGCTTTCTCAATTTTTGTTTCTTGTTACATTGACGACGTGCTATATTCATATATAACAGGAGAAAAACAGCGCGAAACTCTGACAGGACACACAAGTAGAAGAAGGCACAATAACAGGACACTGAATCTCGAACGATTTTATTTTTCAACATGCGGACACATATATACCTTGACATTAAAAAAAATACCAGGAAAAATACCATAACTATGGTGCCCCTATATCTCGTCATGAGGCATCACCAATTCTGTGCTGTTATTTTCCTGTTACAAGCATTAATTATAGGCCAAGCCCCAACACTAGCAGGTGCTATATGCTCACTGTGCAATTCAATGCAAGGTAATGAAACATCCCCATTGTATCGGTGAAAATGAAAATCAGCACGCCATGTCTATCTCTGTATGTAAGTGGAGTAGAAAAGCAATCTTGAAGCAGAACTTTTTTCTGATACTTCTGCAGTTACTCTACGTGATTTTCTTTCGGACGGCTCACTGCAGCTTCTCAAAATCTCTGTCTGCTCGCAGGACCCATTTTCACATATCGTCATTGCATAAATCACATTTGCCGTAAAGAGGTGCTGGTAGTAATCTCGACGCAACCTCATTGCATAGGGCATAATCTTGACGTATCTTTGCATAGGGCATTAAGTCAAGACAGGCTAAATGCTCTTATGATGTTGATGTCGTAACCTCTTCTGGTAAGGACTTACCATAGTAGGCGCCCGAAAATGATTAGAACGTGTTAGCACTATTATTATTATTATTATTATTATTATTATTATTATTATTATTATTATTATTATTATTATTATTATTATTATAGGAAGAAGAAAAAGAAGGATAACAGCAACATTTAGTGGAATGCAAGCGTTTCATTTTCACAAGAAAGAGAAGTTTTCGATCATTACCATATATTTAAACGTTTTTTTTTATTTCAGGTAATGTGTACAAGGGTAGAAAATGGACCACTTATGACCTATACATTAAACCTGTGCTAACCAACCCAAGATTGAGGATTATGACCGGGGCACATGTCAGCAAGGTGAGACCTGTCAGTGGCAATGGTAGTATGGCAAGTTGCCATAAAGGTTGCTTTATTAATTGTTCTATGGCCAGGGATTGCCATAGTGCTTCATTACAAACATGGCACCGAATTCACAAACCTTATGGTTCGAAAACGCATTTGGGGATTGGCCGGCTGTCATCGTGTATATATATATATATATATATATATATATATATATATATATATATATATATATATATATATATATATATATATATATATATATATATACATATATATATATATATATATATATATATATATATATATATATATATATATATATATATATATATATATATATATATATATAAATTAATCCGGAACCCTCTGCATTAGCGTCTATTGTAACCCACTGGCCAATTTTCGCACACCAGTCTACAGAAATTGGGAGTGCAAGCCAACGAGGGTCGTTATTTGGACACCTTAACATTTCCCAGGCGTCATAATCAAGGGAATAAAAATTAACATCTTTCTAAAAAGTACCCTCATGGGATGCAAAGCAGCAGCGTTGCGCACGTATGCGATCAGCGTTTTAGACTCGCGCCTCGTCGGTGTAGTTGGTCTTCCGCTGCCGACGTTTGCGTTCGGCTTCCCTGGCTATATATATATATATATATATATATATATATATATATATATATATATATATATATATATATGATCCACTAGTATTACCGCTTGTAATTTTTTATGAAGAGTTCCTAGCGCAAGAGCTTATGAGGGATGTTTCAATGTTGTAATTGCATATCACTCATGGGCAAGGTTGTTAACGAGGTTGGTCTTCCTTCTTGTTTCTTCGTGCACCCAGCATATATTCTCATTTGGTAATAATGCTTCAGGTGTATAATCATAACTCGGTGCACAGGAAATGAACCAGACGACGTTAACCCTGCTTGTGCATTGCTGCTGAAGTGAGTTCATGTGTGGCCCACTCAGAAATTTTGTCCGCAGTCGCAATCAAGGAACAAAGCTTACAAAGCCTCTGGTATCTTCCATGGGCCTTTGCTAAGACTGTCATAGGTATCAAAGTGGTCTCGCATTTTCCTTAAGGAATGATTTTATAGTATGATCGCAGCCGGGAGAGAGAGGGGGATGCGGGTGTTCATATTATGCCTTTTAAAAAATTTCAATTTTACTTGTGTACGTGAACATGCACATACAAAAAAAAACCCGAACATACATAAAATATGGTTGCCCCCCCCCCCCCATCCCTGAAAAACATTGCTGGCTACGCCCCTGTTTAGAGTGTAAGCGTTTTCTGTGAATACTGGCCGGGGCTACTGAAAATAAAAAAGATGCGTTATAACACGACTGATCCGACCATGTTAAAAAAGAAGGTGGTAAAATTAATCCGGAACCCTCTGCATTAGCGTCTATTGTAACCCACTGGCCAATTTTCGCACACCAGTCTACAGAAATTGGGAGTGCAAGCCAACGAGGGTCGTTATTTGGACACCTTAACATTTCCCAGGCGTCATAATCAAGGGAATAAAAATTAACATCTTTCTAAAAAGTACCCTCATGGGATGCAAAGCAGCAGCGTTGCGCACGTATGCGATCAGCGTTTTAGACTCGCGCCTCGTCGGTGTAGTTGGTCTTCCGCTGCCGACGTTTGCGTTCGGCTTCCCTGGCTCATGCCTCATCGGTGCTGCAAGTGCGACGTCGCCATTCGCGAACGCGATCGGCTCTGCTAACCTTCGCAACGCCAGCAACGGTGGGGTTAGGCCAAATCGCTTCGGTGCATGTTTCGGCGGCTGGAGGAGGTTCGCTTACCGGCGTCCCCTACATCGCAGATAAACTAGCCGAAAGAGTGTTCACTCGATGAGTGCTTGAACGTTGTGAGTGGTGAAGAGCGTGAAGTGAGAGAGATGTGACACGCGGTGAGCGCGTGGCAGGCGAGAGACAGAATGACGTCACCGCGCGCTAAGAGGGAAGGCCTGATCTACTTTGCACTGCCCCAACACCTGCGGAGAGGGAAGTGTGGTGTAGCGCGTTGGCATGGAGACTCGGACAGAAGAGTTGCACAGGATAGTCAAAGAACTACTTCACATCTAATATGTATCATCATACTGAGCCTGGTGCTAATCGTAGAAGCTATATGAGGACACATATAAGATGCTTGGCATGTATTATGTGTTCTCATACCGAGCACTATGAGGCAGTGCTTGCTATCGACGGGAATTTCACATGATGTATTTTAGTGTGCGTGGTGCGCTGCGATTCACTTCTGATGGCCTGACCAACTGCTCTCGCCTATAGGTCACAGTCACGGGATTGAATCCTGGCCATTGTTACGACTCGCCAAGGCTGTTGGTAGGGCGTTTCTCAGCTAGTGGCTGCTTCTGCGCAGAGCTGATAGACGAGCGGACAAGACGATGGTGAATGAAGGCAAAATTTATGTACAGCATGGAATAGAGGCGTTACATATTCGGCACTGGGACCGACAGCTTAAGGAATCGAAGAGCCAAGGTGTCATCGGACGCTCTGGCGCTGTCGTCTTCTCTTTAACGCATAGGTCGGCTGCTTGACATCGCACCGCTTCGCTCTTTATAGGCCCCGGGTTATCCTTTACGTCAGCAACGTCCAACCAGAACGGCCGCTGGAGGCGTCAGCATCCTCCAATGGGGAACCGCCACTTGGTTGCGTCGGAATCCCCCAATTCGGAACCACCTCAATGGATTGCATCCAAGAGTGAGTGGTATTGTCACGTGCTGCGTAAGACTCGCCTGACTGGATGGCGCCGATTGCATCATCGGGCTCCCATGGAGCCCGTGGGTTGTGAGAGCTTGCCGTGCGTTGCGAAAAACACACTGGCGCCGCCGGGCTAGATGACGTCGATCAGGTGATGGTGTCAGGCGGGCTCGCTCGCTGACCTTGACACTGGTTGCCTTTGCAGAAGCAATGATGGTCGGTCTGGACTCCCAGGCATAACAGCACCCCTGCCGCCAGACAATGCGCCTGAAAGACGAGCTGCTTCCACGTGGCTTGGATGTCGGGTGCACTCGTTCGCCAGGTCCCTCCAGGTTCACCTCCAGGTTCATGGGGAGGATGTGACTCCGGGCTCAGTTCCATGAACAAATTCCATTCTTGAGGACGGATGTCCGCTCCACTGGCTTGTCGCCAAAACTTGTCGACTAGCTTCGCTCGTCTCTTCTGACGATTTCTGGCTTCAGCACTTGTCGATGATTCTGCAACTCGTCAAGAACAGTTGGACAACAGACAACACATGACACAGGCAAGTGCTCTCGGTTGCACGACATAATACCAGACACAATTTAGTACAGTACATACCTAGCTACGTGTCTAGCCTAATTTCGTTCCCTCTACATCAAGAGGCACATGCGGGACACAAGACTCTTAAAATGAGAACTCAAAATTTTACACGTACAACAACGTAATGAAATAGAATACAACATAAAGTCGGCCCCTTGAGATCACTCTGGGTGAGAGCGCTCAGTTAAAGACGTGATCAGGAAAGAATTTTGCCCTGACTTGCGGGCGAAAGACCTAAAGTTGTAGAAGGGGCGATAAACAACAAGAGGGAAGGCAGGGAGTTTAACCAGGCACATGCCCGGTTTGCTACCCTACGCTGGGGGAATAGGAAGGGGGCATAAAGATGAGAGAGAGAGAGAGCAAAGAGAAGAAAAAGAGAGAGAGAGAAAAAAAGGAGGATTGTCAGTCAATCGGCTGGCGCGTATGCAGCGATGGCACTACACAAAAATTAAAGGTGGTCACATAGGCCTGTAGTCCTCAAAAAGCACAAGACAGCTTTGACTGCTTTTTGAGCCGACGAAAGGCGATGACAGTGTTCCAGTAGCATCTGCACAGAAAGTGGCCGATCGTCCAATTGTCGCAATGCGTCCGAAGGCTTCTGTCTTTCAGAGGCAAATCGAGGGCAATGGCATATCAGATGGTCGATGTCTTCTTTGGTGCAGCAGACGTCGCATTACGCATTGTCGGTCAATCCGATGAGGGTTCTATATGCTTTTGTGAAGGCAACCCCCAACCAAAGGCGACAAAGAAGTGAAGCTTCACGTCGACGAAGTCCGGATGGAGGTCGAAGTTCCAGTCGAGGGTTTATTTGGTATAGTCTCGTATGTCTTATGCTTGGGGTGTTCCACTCCTGCAGACTCAGACTACGTGCCAGGTGACGAAGTTGCTTTGCAGCGTCAGTCCTTGACAAAGGAATCGGAAGGGTGTGTTCTTCTTTGTGCGATGTGCGAGCCGCGTTGTCTGCGGAATAATTGCCACTGATCCCACAATGGCCAGGAAGCCACTGAAACTCGACCTCGTGGCCTATTTCTGTAACGTGGTGAACAAGCTTGACAACTTCGTAAGTTAATTGTTCATGGCAACCTCGTCGAAGGAACATTATTAAAGACCGAGTAATAAAGTTGTAGAAGGTACTAACTAAAAAGCATGGCTAAATGCGCCTGCATTAGCGTCTAGCTTTCTTTTTTTGTAGCGGACGTCTAAGTTGTGCTGTTGTAGTATCATGCTCCACCTCAGTAACCAGCCACTTTTAGGTGGCAAGTTACTTAACCAGGTTAGAGGACAGTGGTCCGTTCCAACCACAAGCCTCGAACCAGAGACATAACAGGCTAGCTTTTGAACGGCCCACACGAGGACTAAGGTGTAAATATAACATACTGTGGCCTAGTTTCTACCCACTCCTCTAGATTTAGTATCGGGTAAGTTTCGTTTCTAGTTATGACGTTAAGACGCCGATAATCTATGCATGGCCTAGGATCTTTTCCCGGCACTTGAACCAATATTAGAGGGGATGTATAGTCACTCTCACCTGGTACTATGGCTCCCAACTCCAGCATTTTATCGATCTCCTCTTTCATGATGTGCTTTTGCACAGGGGAACATCGATACGGCTTGCTACGGATTGGCAACTCAAAAGATAGCTTGATATCATGTTCAAGCCTCGTCGTGTTTCCGGGATGGTACAAAAGCACGTCTTTAAA